TAATGGCTAGCACTGATAAATTGTTTTCATGTCTCTTTAACAACCTGCGACCACATTCTGAGTATTTACCAATATTTTTTAATATTAAGGCAGCTGTTAGTCGGATGTGTTTAGTTATTGGTCCCTCTTTTTCATCTGTAAAATCTCGAAAGACAAGGTTTCTTGATCCTCTCCTGAGAGCCATGAGTGCAGCACTGGGATGGTTCACAATGGCCTTTTGTGCTCTAGGAGTTGAGCTTGTGCCTCCTACAGCTGGTTGCTTGGTAGAAGATTTTTGATTTCCTGCTTGTCCTGGCTCATCTTGTTTTAATCCTGCAAGCAGGGCATCCTTTGAACAGTGCTTATCCTGTAAGTGGGTTATAAAGGAAAACCTCTGTCGCTGAAAAGGCTCACAACCTTCCCAAAGACACTGCCCTGGATATACATCTTTGCCTCCATGTTCAGTAGCTGCGTGGTAGAAAACCTGTGAGGGTGTTTGAAACCACTTTTTACAAGACTGCCACAGACACATGAAGTTCTGCCCAGGTTTTCTCATTGGATCTGCATGTTGACTGGATGCACTGAATGGAGAAGGCTGAGAACTGTTAGGCTGGCCCTGCACTTGTACAGCTGGTGAAGGTGGCATAGGAGTGTTCTGTGGGACCACATTCTGTATATATGTTGGTGGCTGCTGCTGCTTTTGCTGAACAGCACTTTCTATTGCTACTTTAGCTACAGTGCTTGGATCTGCTCCTGCTGGAACAGCAACCATTGTTGCACTGCAGCCAGCATTGTTGGGATCACTGATTGTAACAATTCTAACTCCTACTTTATTTGGAATTCCTGCGACTGTTTCCCTATCATTATCCTCCGCTGGCCTCTTTACAGTTTTGCATTCTGCTGTGCCATTTGTAGACCGAACATCTGATGATAGGACAGGAGAATGGGACACTCTTGATCCTGAGTGGGGAACTGCTATGATTTGATGCCCCTGTATGACAGAGGTTGTAGAATGTGGTGAGACAACTACACTTGGGCGTTGCTGAGGCACATCTGAATTCAAACTTGAAGCTAGAGGTCCATTAGGCAAATCAGTACCACTAAAATGCTGTATTGCCGCATTTGAAGCCTCCTGTATACTGCTCATAGATGGTGAACCACCCAAAGTTAATACAGGTCCATTAGAAATTCTTTCTAGCTGATCACCTTTGGCAGTATCTTGCTGAGTGGCATCTAAAGTTCCTTGTGGTTCCACTGGAGATATCTCACCATTTCCTACATGATTGGAAGTTTTGTGATTTGGAATGTTTTTGCTTAAATGAGAACCATCTCCTTTATCAAAATCACAGATTCCATTTACTAGGGTTTTTTTCAAATCACATTTGATATCCTGTATGTCCATTTGTTCTGAGTTCTGTTTTCCAGATGAGAAACACAGATTTAATACAGAAAAACCTGAGATCAGAAAAGCTGC